CTTCACCCTCAGTGATCATTACCCTTGTGCATCGCAATCCTAGCCATCACCAGCACAACAGTAGTCCACGACATCGAAGAGGCAAGTACCCAGGGATGGGCGGCCACATTCACGACCCTGGATGTCCAAGGCGCGTTCGATGCAGTACTCCACAATTGTTTGGTGAGGAGGATGCAAGAGCAGGTGTGGCCGGACTCAATTCTCCAATGGACGACATCATTTCTTGCACAACGAAAGTTGCAAGTCCGATATCCTGGAGGGCTAACTGGGCAGAAAGAGCTGGTGTGTGGGGTTCCGCAGGGGTCGCCGATATCGCCACTTCTCTTCCTCTTGTACATGGCAGAGCCTATGCAAAGCGGCAATGCAGAAATGAGGTTCAGCTACGCTGACAACGTCGGGATACTAGGATTCGGGCGCAGCATAGCTGAGTCAGCCGCTTCTATACAGAAGGAAGTGGATCATCTTCTGGAGTGGGCGAGCACCAACGCAGTCTCCTTTGATACCAACAAGTCGGAGGTAGTCCAGTTTCCCGGACGCAAACGCGAGGAGCCAGTGGGCATTTGTGTGAACGGCGTGGTTATTGAGCCAGCAGAACAAATACGCTGGCTAGGAGTACACCTAGACCCGCGACTGGACTTCAAACATCACGTCACGATGTGGTGTGGCAAAGCTATGAAGGTGGCCCAGCAAATGCGCCGCTTCAACTCAGCATATCGAGGAGCTGCTCCTGCAGCACTGTTTCGGGCAGTGGACACGTGCATTGTCCCCGTAGCAACCTTTGGAGCAGATGTTTGGTGGCCCGGTCTCAAGGAGCCGTGTTTATCAGTATTCCGTAGGGTACGAGTTTGGTACAAGTAGGTTACAGATGTGGAGTATGGTGACGATTCCTAAGAGTAGGAGGTATAAAGTCAGCGTTAGGTATAGGGTTCACGGAAGAGGTAAAGGTAAAATAAGTAGTAGGTGAGAAGGGTACAATAACGGCTATCTTCTTTAGAGAAGAGATAAGTACGTGAACAATAGGTATGAGTATAAACAGAAGACATTGCGTGAAGAATACTCCTTCACGCTGGGTATATATGTACATCAGATAATAGGACAGCCCTAAGCTCTGTCTTGAACAGTATTACTACGCAATCCCTATGAAACGACCCTATGTTCCTGAGCCTGTCCTAATTGTTTGAGAACTTGATCTAACCCCGAGTTGTGTTTTAGAATGGAACTCCCCATGAGACACCATCCTAGTTTCCGCCACGTTTATCCATGAAACCCGGCCTCAAACTTCCGATCAAAAAGGGGAATCATCACACCTCGGACTAGTATTTTCTGCAAGATGATCGATAAGGCAATCCTAACAGGACTGCGTGCTACCCTCCCGGTAATGAGAACGACACCGAATCCTGTTCTCCACCGCGAAGGAGGTATCCCAACTGGAAAGATCATTCTGGAAAGGAATCGACTACGGCTTTCGGCTCGGCTCCATTCACTAGACAACCGTCACCCGCTTCGGACTCGCGCCGCTATGCGTCCAAACGATGGAACACGGAAACACAAGAAATGTTCTCGGGCGCCCAAGAATCCAGAGATCCACATGTCACGAGTACAGCGTGCTTACCAAGAACTCCCGGATGCGGTAGATGCTTAGCCTTTGCCACCCCCAAGCTATCTTTCGAGTTTCAACTCAAGGATAGAGGAGGAAGAGAAGGCAACTCAGTTCATTAATAGCGTGCCGGGATCAGATATTTGCGCCTACCCGGATGGATCGTCGGAGGGGAATGGTCGCTCAGCATGGGGTTCCGTCTTGAAGAGGGATGGAAAAACTCTGTTGAAGAGATATGGCATCAAGCATGGTGGTGAAGTGCTTGATGCAGAATTACTAGGTGCGAGGAAGGCCCTGGAAGCTGCGCTGGAATTGTCGGAGGAATAGAACGGGGGAAGAGACGGCAGGCAGCAGATCAATGTATTGACGGATAGTCAGTCTGCAGTGAAAGCACTGCTGACGGGAATTGCCACAACAAGCCTCGACGACGTACGCCAATTTCGGGCGCTATCGAAAAAGGCTCTAGTCTTGGTGAAGTGGATACCGGCCTACTCCGGGATACAGGGAAACGAGGATGCAGACAGAGCTGCACGCTCCGGCCTCCGACAACTGCCAAGTAAAGACAGCCAGCCTGGCTCCGTCACAATGGCGTACGTTCGTCGGTTCATGAACCGGAAACGTCAAGCGCTTCTCGACGACTGGTGGGAAGAAGTATGTCCACTTAGGTATCGAAATCTGGGTTTTCTCATGCAACGACGAAAGCCACGCGAGCAGACACTTTCCCGGCGGCTACTCCGTGAACTGATCTCAGCCCATACGGGCCACGGAAACTTCGCGGCATGTCATCGCCGCTGCAACAACTTCGCCCCTTCAATGGAGTGTGCGTGTGAAGAGGAAACATCACCTCTCCGCTTCATTCACTGTCGACTGCACGTACGCCAGACGCGTCGACTACGAGGGACAATGTCACATCACGTCTTTACCCACAAACTTCTCGGGCCTAAGTGCCTCGAACACTTTAAAAAATTTGCGCAGGAAACCGGCTGCTTCGGGGGCCCACCTGCGACTCCGTCTCCAGCTCTCAGCGTAGACAGTAGTAACTAGATCATGCCACGAAGCATGACGGGCGGGAAAATGAGACGAGAAGTGTCATTTTCCAACCACAAACAGGAGTATGGGATTTAGAATTCTGGTTATGGAAGTTTGTGTGGGCATTTATTTTCTTTATTATAACTAGCTACTTGTTGTGTAGTGAGTCACGCGGTGAGACCGAGTCGGGCATGTGGGAAGCATGATCTTGGCCGTGTGCACCAGTCCTTGAATCCTAGGAGATATTAAGCATAGCTTAGGACTTAAAAATTTAAAAAAAAAAACAAACTACCGAAATATAAGTTCAGTAAAACCAAAACCTCACTGATCATAACCTTTTATCTCTGATCCTTAAATCCCCAATATCATACGATTCGTACAGTATTGACTTGACGGTCAACGTTCACTTCTTGTCATGTAGAGACATGATTCATTCATGAGTTGATATTGTTCAGACGATCATGACTATATCACAAAGTCATGTACAGACACGATTCATCGTTTGTACCTGTTGTATCAACCATGACTATGTCTCAGTGATATGAGAAACATCATTGACTAGTTACTAGAAACCTAGTCAATATCCTAAACACACAACTGAGACTAGGAGAATTTTACTGAGTAAGTAATTATTCTGATGAATCTAGATCTAGAGGAACATAATCTGGTTGCTTGGCTCGAGGTATATGAACCTGAGTATATCATGTATTATAAACTATATAGAAATCTATCTCAATCACAATCATCATCTTAAATCATGTCACCATCAATAGCTGCAAAGGACAGTTTAACCATTTCCTTATACTTCTATCATTCCAGATACCCCCCAGAACTTTAATAAGTATCATACTTGATTAGTAAGGAAGAGATATATTGAACATTTCTCAAGGTTTATATCTTTCTACCTTCTCTAGACAGTGAGACTATTTCCGCTTTTCTCTTAACTCGGACGTCTGCTGGATACCAGATTATGTAGATTTTATAGTTCGTGAGGTCTCCTCCATCGGGTGCGAGAAGTTGTACATAATATTCTGGATCAGTTTGACACTCACTTAGTTATCTGAATAATTGATGCGAGTAGAAGATAGGACGTATTTTTTTGTAATGATAAATGGCCTGTAATATGCAGCAGGAGTCACGACCTGGCTCTAGGTAAGGTGATTTGCGTACATGTGGTACGTGCACGTTAGCAAATAGTCCCTGCCCGCCTTCTAATTACACTCTCTACATGTCCAGTCTACTCTTTTCATCTATACGTTAGAGCTACCTTCCTGCCACTTCCTCGTTCCGTAATTGCAGGTCCAAGTATCCGTAAATTCCTCTAAATCTTCCTGTCTTAATGGATTTTATCTGATTTGCCTACTGCATGGAAATTTATCAAACTAATCTGCTCCGTTCATTTCCCGATATAGATCATTACCTGAAGAATGACTACTTAACTAGACATACATATATATATATATATATATATATATATTATTTAATGTGTATGCAGCTATAAAGCTATGACACATGACCGGCGCTATGTATACATGTTGGATACTCTTTTGACGTTGGAGACACTCATACTCTAGATTGCCTTAGCAAATACTACTATGAGATATGTTCGCTTACACAAACAGTCGACCCTCCTCCGTAAGTACCCACCAAAGGGAATATCAAAACCTTTGATTATCCAAGCATGCCTTTGTCATCCATGTGTAACAGCGCCCCGAGGAAAGTGGTTGTGTTTTGCTGGATTCAAACCAGCTATCTACTGTCTCGAGTGGGATATGTGTCGAAGCTATCTAGTTTCTACTTGGCAGACCGGCCAAGACGATGTACCACCGCACCATCCAATTATGGTGGTGTTTATAGTATCGCCTGCACTCTTGAGACAATCTCCATGGATTTAATTGAATTGACTTTGGCGAGTTAATGAAGAGGTGGAAACTCGATTCTATTTTGTTGTTTCATCTTCAATTTTTAGGGGTGTATTTGGGGTTTCACTGTTCTAATCAGTTGGGTGAATCAATTGTACAAGCATTGATGAGATCCATAACTAGTCCAGTAGATGACGTGACCTGGTTCATGGATGTTTTTCATCTGATGCCATTTAGAAGGTGAAGGAACTGCCAATGTAGATTTACAAGGCTAGATGTGAAAGGCTATTGGTGCGGAACTTCGGTGAGAAGGCTGGGAACTTCGACAATAAGAGCTCTGATGGGGCAAGCCAAGTAGCTGTATCATCTGGGACAGCTTGCTAGCGAAGTATTTGACAACCAACCTACACCCCAAGGCTATTACATCGTCAAAAGAGAGATGTCTACTACAAACTCTCCGGAATAGATTTTGGAGCACATCTTACGAAACATTTTCTTTTTATAATTTCAGCATGCTTCACGCATTGACTCCAATTTTGTCCCTTGGGCTGGCTCTATGGACATCATTAATAAATGCTTCTCCTTCAGACTTCGAGCAAGAAACTCCATTGTTCGATCCAGATGACTACTCTAGAGCATGTCCAGATTATGCAAAATATGTTCAGTTCAAACAGTATGCTTATTAAACCAAATTTTTGACCCGGACTAAGAAATACATAGTGAGCCATTATCAACAGGACCCATGAAATTGCCTTTTCAAAGACCATCTCAAATCTGCCGAACTTTCTCCTCGCCATTGGTTGAAAAGGTTATCCAAGAAGTCACTGAGGCTATGGTTGATAAAGACCTTGCCCGAGTATTCGAGAACGCTTTTCCCAATACACTTGATACTACAATACGATGGCACATCGATGGACCCACAGTAGACGTTAAGTCCAAAGAGACTGCGCTGGGAAAGGCCAAGTGGACAGGTGCACAATCATTCGTAGTAACCGGAGATATCAACGCAGAATGGCTGCGAGATTCTACCAATCAGTTGTTGCAGTATCAACCTCTAGCCAAGAAAGACCTCGGTATATTCAATTTAATTCTTGGAGCAATCAATACACAAACAGAATACGTAATCGAATCACCATACTGTAACGCTTTTCAGCCACCACCCGCTTCCCATCTTGCCGCATCTGCGAACGGACAGAAAGATCAGGTACATCCAAACTACGAGCCATCCTTTGTTTTTGAGTGCAAGTATGAGCTGGACTCTCTCGCACATTTCCTCTCTCTAGCGAACTCGTTTCATAATAATACTGGATCTCTAGAGTTCCTAACTCCTCGCTGGCTCAAAGCCCTCGGCACAGTTATGACTGTTATTGATCAACAGTCCCAATCAACCTTCAACTCTGAGACTGGAAAATTCGAGAAAAATGTATATACATTCAGCCGACAGACAGACCAAGGCACTGAAACACTTCCTCTAAATGGCGTAGGTAATCCTCTTAACTATGGAACGGGACTTATCCGCAGTGCTTTCCGACCTAGTGATGACGCTACTATTCTTGGCTTTCTGATTCCAGCAAATGCACAAATGGCCGTGGAGTTAAAAAGAACCGCCAAAATTCTAATGGCAGCCAAATACACTGAACTAGCCCATAATTTAGAGAAACGAGCTCAGACCATGATGGATGGTATATGGGAGCATGGTGTCTTCAATCACAAAAAGTACGGACAAGTTTTTGCGTACGAAGTCGACGGCTATGGATCTCAAATATTGATGGATGATGCAAATGTTCCATCTTTACTATCTTTGCCACTATTAGGATTTGTTGATGCTTCAAATCCCATTTATCAGAATACTCGAAAAATGCTATTGGAGAAATCAGGAAACCCATACTACCTGGAAGGAAGTGAGTTTCACGGCATAGGAGGTATGTTGGCGTTATAACATTGGGATAGAGCTACCACTAACTCCAAGAAAGGTCCACATGTTGGACTAAATCATGCTTGGCCTATGAGTCTATTGATTCAAGCTATGACAACAGATAATGACGAAGAAATTAAGGGTTGTTTAAAGACGGTTCTTTCCTCCTGTCACTTAGGCCTTGTCCACGAAGGTATTAACGTGGATTCAGACCGAATCTTCTCAAGTAATGTCTTCCTATTTAACCCTGTTCTTTTTTCACATCTTTTTGGCTAACAGTCTCATATAGGATCTTGGTTTGCATGGGCTAACAGTGTTTTTTCACAAACGATCCTCGAAATTGCTAGAAAAAAGCCCTATTTGTTATTTGGTGAGGGTGCAAAACCATACATCATAGACAGTACATGAGAAATTCAATCAAAATAGTTAAAATTTCTACAATGCTACTACAAACATAATTAATATGAAACCAAAAAAATCAATAGAAACAAAGCTGCTCGTGATTAAGTCTCGAAATGATAATTGCTATGTATCTATACAGGACTTATCAGGCACTTCTAATTGATGTTTTTAGATTTTAAATCGAGAGCGCATACCATAAAATAGAAGTTGGTATAATATGCTGGACATCATTATAGTTTTACAGACTTTGTTCATCGAGTTTGATTAAACTTAACTTCGTGCCGTTCTACGGCTCGTGACTAAAGTTACGAGCCTGTTGGCCCAGTTTTCAGCTGGCTAACCGACAAGCTAGCGCCTACATAGACTCGATAAGGCAGATGAAAGCCAGCATGTCATCATCCTGAATTCGAAGGTTGATTCGTACTTGAATGCTAGCATCTTATAGGACCCTACGATCTATAGATTAATTTGAAAAAAGAAACAATAGTTATATCAATCCAAGGCTCTCTGGTCTTTTATTCCATAATATTGGACAGGTTAGGCTTGACTTTGTGCCATGTTGAAGGAACATGTGGCATCTACCCAGCCTTTAAACGAATAAACTTCCTCTTTTGAAGCAAGAGCCTAGTACATGATAGGAGTCAAGTTCTGCTTGTTGAGAAACTGAGATTTTGACTGCCATAGACGATTAAAAGAAACGGTGATCGGGAGATTTCTTTTGTCCACACAAGCGGGTTAATATTGAAATTTTGCGCTGAAACAATCGGTAATTATTCTCTTCATGCTCAGACCATTTGGGTAATAGGTACCCGAGCCTATCGTCACAGATGGGCGACTCCGTTGTTGATAGCAGTATTTGAAATAATGCCTAGCTCTGTACATCTACAGGGTGAAGAATCAGCGAATTTAAAGCGTAAAAGAAGCTCCGTATTGAGCCTCGAATTACTCTATTGCTCTCACAATCTAGGGGGCCAGGAGAGGGTCGGTAACCGCAAAGTTTGCTAATTTAAAGATAATACATGCATGGCTCCGGTGATATGCCAATCTAGCTTGTTCACATATGGATTCTAGACTCCCATATTAGCTACTAAATCCGAGAATAATTTGTATTTATTGACCTATTGGGTCTGAGGCTATATAAGGATATGTAAGTCTTCTCTGCCTACAGGCTAGTGATACCTATACAGGTAGTATATCCCCGCTTATGCCTCTCATACAGCTTCCCTCGATCAGTACCACCCCTCACAAGTCCTTATTCGATCATACACTTAGAGGAGCCCATTGCCCTTCATCATCTTCTCTCCTCAGCCAACGAAACGATGTCTATTTGCGGGTGTATGGCAGCCGGGAAAAATCGCCAAAACCACTGGGTGCAGAGCTCTTCTAATACCGACATTAAGAATAAATCCGAAGATATAGTCTCCCTTCTGAAGGGTTTGAATAGGCCGGGCAGCTGGAAGGTGAAGAATTCGTCTTTTCCTACCAATTTGAGCATACTTAATGTACGAGACTCAACCCGAGCACGGAGCAATGTGATATTCGTAAGATAGTGTTTGATCCACCAGCTTTTCATATTCATGATACATACTGTAGTGCAACTCAATGTCCATGGTGGAGTTTGAGACGAGGGCAATTAGATGATACCTGATACCTGATTTGTTTTTGATATCCTGAGAACATCTTTACACTAGTTTCCCTAAGACCACCAAGTTGGATTAATTCAGATCGTTTTTCGGTCATGCACTTCTATTTCCAAAGTATGTCCCACACACTTCCAATACATATCCATGTCATCTCAATTAGATATCGCGACTATATGCCTTGAGCCGCCCTATTCATCTAGCCCATACCGGTTTTCGGCGTCTACCAAACTACTAATATTTACTGCCATAGTACTTATAGCTCACAGTCCAGCTTCGAATAGAGCTCCTTGTGAACCGTTGAATTCCTAGAATGATGGCGGGACCTAGAGGCGTGGATTACTGTAGGCAAAACTAAATTATAACATAACTTTGGTCATATCGAGCAATGAAAAAAGCGCAATAATTCTGGAACGGGGGAAAAATTTCAATCAAAGAGTAACATTTCATTATTCCAACTTAAATAGGGAGGTGTGCCCTATGGCTACATTTGTAAGCGATACACAGCCTGAGCCACAGCATAAACGAATGAGCTGCCATGTAGGCATCGGCAAATACTCTAATTAACTCCTTGTGCCTTTTTTTTTTGCGTCAGATTTTAATTGCGTATGCAGCTAATTTAGCTATGACACAATATCAAAAAAAAGTACAGAAAAGATGACTCAATTTACAAGAAGAGTACTCATGCCTCAGATCTTATTTGCAAGTACCACTGCGAAGTTATGGTAGCTTTTTCTTCACCCCAGGTCAACCCTCATCCGTGAATACCCACCCAGGGGAACATCTCAAAAACCCTGAGTTATCCAGACATGCCTTCATCATCCACTTACTCTTCTCCGCGCGAAATGTAATCTAAGATGTCTCCTTCCCAAGTGGAGTAGGTGCTCAGGCTACTCAAACTATACCAGAGAACACCACCAGGAGGCGGCCAACGACACCTTCCATCGTCGGCTTGTTTTTATAGTGTCAGCTGCACTCTCGCAAGCGAAGTCATAGCGCGCACAAAGCTCAATTTTTAAAATCTCCTTGCCAAAATTCGGAATTTACGCCCTTCGAGGCTATATCCTTCCTTTGCATCATCTTATAAGCTTGTCATGAATCCTCTCACGCCAATCCTAACAGTCTCCCAGATTTGTGCGCCACGCTTTGCTTCCTCCGTCGGGTATAAATATCGGCGTGGGCGTGTATTTGGTGGCCGGCTGAGGCCAGAGAAAGTCGACAAGAGGTGTGATCATTGGAATAAGGATGTACTAGGTCGTACTTGCAGAATTGATGAGACTTAGGTAGAAGTCAAACTCGTTGGGTGCGAAAAAACGACGTGGAGGAGTAATATGAATTTTTGCCTAGTGGGCCAACTTCTTTGATATTGCGAAATTTGACTGAAATTGGCTCTGGGAGAATATTTCACTCCCAGGTTCGTAGAGGACACCGCGTACAGGTGTTCAGTCTTGCCCTCCGATCATGTATCCATCAGATAGCCTGGAGCGTTACCAAATGATTCATTCCAAACCCTGAACCAAACACAGGATCGTGTCGGGAACCAGACGAAATGGTATCCCCATACGTCCCGGACATACTGTGTCTCCATTTCCAACATGTTCTATTTTTTATGATACCTTTATCTTCAAGTTCACAATTCTCAAACCTGAAAACATAATTTTTGCCAAAAAGCTGCGCTGCATTCCACGCTGCCTTTATCACCAATTTGACATCATGAATCCAATTTTTATACCTACTTTACCCTCCTCCCATCATTCTGCTTTCAGTGCTTCAACATGTTATCTGTAGATACTGGTGTGAGTAAATACAGCGGTTTCGACGTGTCGCAAAAAGCGACAATGGCCACTAACAACAACAGAAGCGGCGCCCAGACTGCTTCAAATGATACGAATTAAGAAACGCTGGGGAAACTATTAAAAAGGGTTAGACGAATCGTGATGGCAGAAATGGATGAGGAGAACTTACCATGGATGGGGGATGTTGACGAAGCCGTGAAGGCACTCGATGCTCACAAAAGGAACTGGTCGGGTGTGTCAAAGAAGATGTCTCCAATCGAGGAGAGGATGATGGCGTTAGAGGAAGTTGTCAAGAAGAGCTTCACGGATTCTGCTCGAAAGGCTGCTTCAGCTGTGACTTCGGGTGCGCCGATACCAAGGAGCTACGCGTCGGTCGTGGCTCTGCATATAACGAAAACGGTGATAAGAATCAGAATTGACGGAGCCGACAAACTACAGCCAGAATAACTACTATCAAAAGCAAAACAACAAATCGGTGGCGCATACAAGATTCGAAAAATGCGGAGCAACGAGACCAAGGTGTTCGTCCAGTTGGCACCCCAGAGAGACGCGGTGCTAAATATGCGACAACCAACCGAATTTAAAATCTTGCGGCAAGACCTTCCAGTCTAGGTCAACGGCGTCACATTGCGAAAACGAATCGAAGGGGGCGGAGATGCCAACAATTACGCTATTATCCGGGAGAAATAGACAGCAACAAGGGCAAGAATCCCAGGTCTTATGATCAATAGAATACGATGGCTCCATGACGGAAGGGGAAACCAGCGGTCAAAGAAAATGGCAGCACTCGTGGAACAATAGTGGTTAGCCTCCCATCGGAGGCAATGCAAACAGAAGTAGTCCGAAACAGTCTAGTAATGAACGCCGTGATCTTCACTGCGCAAGTGTGGCCACAACGGGTGCAACCAAAGCAGTGCTTCAACTGTAGCCAGTGGGGACACACGCGTGCGTCGTGTGGAAAGGCAGCTAGGTGCGGTAAGTGTGCTGGCGCTCACCAAACTCAGGACTGTCCGAGGAAAAGAGTTTCTTGTGCGAACTGCGGCAAAGAAAACCGTAAGTTGCAGAAAGTAGCGTGTCGGGCCTACCAGTTCCACATGGGAAGTATAGAGAAGGCTCGGATGGAGCTATTATCCAGAACGGCGGAAATATGGAATGAAAAACCTACAATGGCGCCAAAACAAAGCGTCGGAACGACTGATGATCAAGGATTTAATTTGGTTGCCATTAAGAAGACTGAAGGACTCAAAAGGGAGCCAAGATGACCACGAAAGGTAGTCGAAGCCCAAGTGACACCTTTGAGTCGACTCTTCAAACGCTTCGACGACCAACGCTGAGTGAGGAGGCGTCGTATTTTTTCAATATCTTCTAGTAATAGTCTGATCGAAGGGAGAGTTAACGAAACCCGTGGAAATTTTATGTCGAATGACCTGTGACTTCATGATCTTGTATCATCTTTAGAAATGATGACTAATTATTTTGATAAGGAATGAGTTACCTGTTTAGGAATGGCGTTAGGAGAGAGAGATAAATAAATAAATAATTCATTACCATATTCAGTAGGTTCCAAACCATCAGATGTTTGACATGTACTTAAAGTAGGACGACTCAATTTGACGTTTAGAACACTCACACTCAGATTTAAATTGCAGATACCACTCGAGGTTAAACCTTACGGCGTACAACTTCTTCCGTGCATACCCACTACAGGGAAAAGCGTGAAAAACCCTGCGATTGTCTGGGTGTATTTTCATCATCCTACAAATTCAATATCGCTGCGAAAATGTGTGGTGTGTGAGTGTCACTGGATTCGAACCAGCTTTCTCCTGCCTCGTATGGGATAGGTGTTCAAGCTACCCAGTATCTACCCAGTATCTACCTGAGATAACGGCCCGAATGGTGTACAACTGCACCATACAACCCGGAGAGAGGGATATTTGCCGTATACGCGTTATTGATGTTGTTTATTGTATTACTTGAGTCATAGACTATCTAGCGTATTGGGCTCCTCTCTGGCCCAGGCCACACCTTATGCAATGCTCCTTGTCTCTCATCTCTCTTGAAAGATCATTGATATATTGCCCTTGATGAATAGCAATTCAGATCAGTTTTTACCCGTGGAATTCGGCCACCAATCTACGGAACCTTCTACCCAAAAAAAATAAAAATAAAAATGGCAGCAATAGACACTGCGTGCGCGGGAAAAAGTCTCAAAAAACCTGCAGCGCCAACCAGGCGAGGCCTAGACACCGGGACCACATGAGGTGCGCATATTCATCTATATCTTCCTTCTTAGTAAAATTCGTGGCTGAATTGAGCCAATCCGCCATCTCCGTATCGGGTGCTGGGTACGCTCCGGAAACTCATCGGATGGCTTTTTCTCCGTGATCAAGGGTTGGTGATGAGTAGGGCTCCGAACCTACCATCTTATCTGATCGTGGTTAGCTTCATAATAATGGTGATATGGGAATGTGTTGAGAGATGAAGACGATACAGACGGCGAAAGTGATTGGGATTCCTCATCGAAGTGAGGACCTTGTTACTCAATCTCGGCTCTGCAGACTCTACAGTAAGAGCTGGAGGCTCGTAGGGGACACCACTGACAGGTACTGAGAATAGTCCCACTGCTGCATATACATGTTTCACTTGGAAAAGACGATGAATCAAGGTACATATTAACCACCAATTGTTATTACAGATAAATAAAGCTTGTGACATTAGTACCTCCCGAGTATTCCGACAGTTTATGAACTTATGGTTGGAAGAAACGTCTTCAGCGTTAAGCGGGGTCGGTTCAGAGTGGCAGGATATGGGGTTTTGTTAAAAGCTTTTTTCCCTAACCAAAATGTCTTACCATCTTCATATTTCTGTATGTAGATACCACACAGGACGTTAAACAAGACTGGTTCAATTCAATACTCAAACATCATAGACATGAGAAGACATAGATCATATTAAGGAAAGCGAGGAAATGATATTTCAAGGCGGACGCTGCTATTATTTTGCCTTCTTCACGCAAAGCATTCATATCATCGTTATCATTATACCTACTTCTTCTAGGGATTCCGTTTTCCAACCCTCAAAATTTTCAGACTGCTTCTCACCTTTTAATCTTGATCAGCAAGAGACCTAAATTATCGATACTCCGAGTGAAAATTAATTCTTGGATTAGCTCATCCACTATCATACAAAGTTTGTTCGTTCTAGAGGCATATTATACAATTGTCGGAAGCACATCCTAATGATGAAGTAGAAACTGGTAAGTAATATTTCACAGGATTAATTTCTTAAAAAGGTATCTATCAAGTCTTCTAAAATTTGTGATGCTTAACCTGTGACGGTTCTACAATTACATAAATTCTAGTGCCATAAAGATCATTGATATAGTGCATGTCTGATTAACTCTGTATGATTTTAATGACATTTTACGTCTTAATTTTCGGGACAGGGGCTCTCGGCTGTCTTGCACTTTTTCATGTATTCATGACCAAGAAGCGAAATAAATGCCAGTTGTAGTTATTTAAATAATTGTTCAACTAGATTACAAACACTATGGCATAGGGTGAACTCAAGATGAAGCCCTATCAATAGTGACCAAACTTTATGAGCATATCACATTAGCCTTTAGTTTGTAATGTAGGGCAGACCTACCTTCAGCTCCGAATCGGAGACTCTATGATTATTGTAGACTTAATTGCTTCATTTGGCCATATATATATGTCTGAGCCACTAAGTGAAACCATCTTTTACTTCTCCTAAACCCTGATTATGACATGCATGTACATTATAAATTATGAAAGTCTAGGTTTCGAGGAACTTTCCGAGGTAGATGTGCGATGAAACTTTCCAATTTTGAGGAGTGTAACTTTTCTGAAGCATCAAGATCCTACTAATACTTCAGTCTTATGCTATTACTTGAAATACTTCCTCCAGGGAATGAACTAAATAATTTCGGAAATGAATCGATTCAGATTTTATAATTGATTCGACTTTTCTTTCTCTATTTCCAACTGAAGCTCTGACAATGCCTGCTGCCGTAATTTTAAATGTGCCTCTAGTCCATCAATTTGCTCTTTGACAGTAGCTATCTCGTTTTCTACCTCCTTCAAATTAGCACCAACCGTACTGGGGCCATTCCCCAGCTTCAATTCATTAAGTTGTCCTTTCTTGTATTCTAGTAACTGTTTGAGCTCTTTCTTGATAATTGCGTGCTTAGATTCATGTCTAGCGCCAAATTCTTGAGAAGATGCCGATTCTCTTTTTTCAATCTTGGCCTCCAATTCCGCGAGTTGCTTTTTTAAGCGGACTTCTTCCCAGTCCTCTGAGGTTTTAGTACCCGAAAAATCTGTCCCGGAAGGTCTGTAAGACGATTTTCCCCCAACTCCGATTCGGCTTAAATATGTGTCGCCAAATTTCGCTTTACGACCAGTGCTTGTTTCTTCGCCACTAGATGTGGCCCATCTTTGGGCCGGCTGCGACTTTCTTTGGTTGTTTATCTGGTAATCAATTTTGTTTCGCTCAAAACTTGCGCGTAATGAAGGTGGAACTGTCCGAGGAATACGATTTCCTTCGTGTCGATTATTGAGGATATGTAAAAATGCAAGGGTAGCATCTTTAGATATTGCCAGAGAGGCTGAGGGATTGATGAGATTCCAAGCAGATCTAATATCAGTATCAGGCACATCTAAAGACGAATACAAAGGGTTTAGAGAATCGACTGTTAAAGGTTAGAAAATTATAGCATTCAAGCACCTGTTATCTGACTCAAGCTTACATGTTATATCTCCTTTCGCATCACGGTTAGCTGAATAGATCTCCTCATACTTTGCTTTATCTTGAGGGCTCATGTACCAGTCAAAGCCATCTTTCAGCTCAGGAAAGTCCGAATCGTCGTCTGCTTGCTCGAACTGAACACGCTTTCCGGTGAGCGCTCGAGATGCTTGCACAAGATGTGCTTTGGTTTCTGGCACAAGCCAGTCGGGAAGTTGTGAGGGCACTTCATTATATTCCTGGGATAAAGATGTCAAAGATAACCCATAAATCTTCAAATTTCTTACCTACTCCGTTAACTAAATCAAAAATCAATCGCATAGCTACACAAAATTCTTCAAAGTCTAAGCTCCCGTCATTGTCAACATCTGCCAAATCCCATATGCGTTCAAGTGCATCATCTTGAAGCTGACTATTCTTTAAAATTGGTGCAGCTTGGGCGCCAGTAAGATGAGTCCCACCATTGGAAAGTGAAGTAAATATTTCCCAATACTTTTCAATTTCACTCTGCTCAATTCTTTTTTGTGACATTTTGAATCTGATTTAAAAATTAAAAGGTAGTACTAGTTACTTCAAGTGACAGTGGTGTCAGTAATGCCATATCAATATAGGACCTAGTTACTTACCTTGAACAACCAGATACAGATGTCAACCCCGCAAGGTAACTTTAAAGATCACGTGAATATCAACCTAAACGTAATGGCCCCAGTATTTTCTACTAGAAACCTCAAGCAGGATCAATTGGGAATGTAAAGGAAAATTGCAAACGATTCAAAGTCGAGAGTAAACACTAGCGTGTCTAATATCTACAGCTGCTCATGAATGACAGGTTTATCTTTTCCACGCATGTCTTTTTATTTACTCAAACTAAAAATCAACGGGAGACTATTTTCAATACATATCTGTGGTGTCCCCTACAAGCCTACAGCTCTTACCGTAGAGTCTGCAGAGCCGAAATTGAGAAACAAAGTCTTCACTTCGATGTGAAATCCCAATCACCTTCGCAGCATGTTTCCTCTTCATATCTCTGCACGGCCCTAGCACCATTATTATGAAGCTAACCACCATCAGGTCAGATTATTAGATGTGGTACTACCTTTCACCCACTCTAGGTCATGGAGGAGAAGCTATTCAACGAATTTCTTTAGCGTGCCATGCACCCGACATGGTGATGGTGGGTTGGATAGAGTTGACATCCAATGTCACAAAGGAAGATACGGATTGGAATGCGCATCACGTGTGGCGCCGGTATGTGTGTGTGTGTGTGTTTTTATTGTACTACTTGAGTCTATGACTATCTAGCACATTAGGCTCCTCTCTGACCCAGGCCACACCTTGTACAGTGCTCCTATCCTCTTTTGTTACTTCAAAGATCATTGATGTATTCCCCTTGATGAATAGCCATTCAGCTCAGTATTTACCCGTGGAATTCAGCCACCTTTTCCACGGAACCTTCTACCCAAAAAAATAAAAATGGTAGCAATGGAAACTGCGTGCGCGGGAAAAAGTCTCAAAAAACCTGCAGCCCCAGCCAGGCGAGGCCTAGACACCGGGACCACATGAGGTGCGCATATTCATCTATATCTCCCTTCTTTGTAACAGTCGAGGCCGACTTGATCCAATCCACCATCTCCGTATCGGGTGCTGGGTACGCTCCGGAAACTCATCGGATGGCTTTTCCTCCATGATCAAGGGTGGGTGACGAGTAGGGCTCCGACCCTACCATCTGATCTGATCGTGGTTAGCTTCATGATAGTGGTGATAGGGGAATGTGTTGAGAGATGAAGACGATACAGACTGCGAAAGCGATTGGGAATCCTCTTCGAAGTGAGGACTTTGTTACTCAATCTCGGCTCTGCAGACTCTACAGTGAGAGCTGGAGGTTCGTAGGGGACACCACTGACAGGTGTTGAGAATAGTCCCCTATGTGGCGCCGGTAGCTAGTACTTGCCTGGAAGAGACCGTAGGATTTTAGAGACTATGTTGCGTCTTTTGTCTCAGTAGGGACTTAATAGGGTTACTCGCTTGACGCGTGATCCGCCAGACGTTAAATAAAGATAAATAAAATAAATAGAGAATATGTTACGCGCAAGTAGTTTTAATTACTACTATTTTCTTAGTAAATGTTTCCGATGAAAATTGGCTGAATTCCACAGGGAAATACTGAGCTGAATGGCTATTCATCACGGGCAAAGTAACGATTTTCAAGAAACATGAGAGTCAAAGAGTACTGTACAGATTGCGGCCTGGGCTAGAAAGGAGCCGAATGTACTGGATAGTCATTGAGATGAGTGGTACAATTTTTTTTTAAAAATCATTTAATGTGTATTCAGCTATCTAGCTATGACACATGGCCGGTGCTATGTATACATGTTGGATGACCCTTTTGACGTTGGAGACACTAATACCCTGGATTTCATTCGCAAATACCACTATGGGGTATTTTCGCTTACACAAATAGTCGACCCGCATATGTAAGTACCCACCAAAGGAAATTTCGAAACTTTTGGTTGTCCAAGCATGTCTTCGTCATTTATGCATACCAGTGCCTCGAGGAATGTGATTGTGTTTTGCTGTATTTGAACCAGCGGAGTGGTACAATTAAGATAGGTAGATAGCACATAATTCTTCTAATTTTCTAAACCTTGATGAAGCTTCAGCCTTTCAACCTTGGTAAGCATGTGACTCACTAAGCGAGCACAGCAAGCATACTGTAAATTATCAGAATCCTAGCAATTTGATTTGATTTCGTTTAGCCCGTTCAGGTTCCCTATGGACCCATGCAAGTATATCTAGCTACAATATTTGCACAGGAGCAAACCAAATTCGGTAAAAAGAGCTCGTGAAAGAGTGGTGGCAGAGATATCGACTAAAACGATACAAAGATCTGGACCTATTCATGCGTTGCAAAAGACCATCGGAACTAGATTTACCAAGATGTGCGTACCATCGTCTTATTCCGGCAAGCACAGGCAAAGGAGACTGCGCCGACTACCATCGACGTTTCAACCCCGAAAATGAAGATCTAAAATGTGTTTACGGCCGAGAGAAAAGACCATGGCACTTTTCAGAGTGCCGACCTACTTTGCAACTTTGGAAAAGCTATGAGAAAATGGCCCCACCTGGGGCCAGGAAAATGATAGGGGAGAAGAGGTGGCAGAAGTTCATTCAATTCTTAACTACAAGCAGATGTAACAGTCTGCCGAAGGATGAACAGGGTGGGAGGTGACCACGCTGAGATTGTTTCTGACCAGAGAGGAGATGGGTGTGGAAGATAGGGATACGGCGCAGGGCACAGTATCTTAGACATTTACTGTTCCTTTTTATTTCCTTCTTTTCTTTTATCGCTTCTGGCTTCACTGCCGGTCTTTTAGGTAGCAATAAGCTCTCAGAGCCCATCTACCCGTATCGCATCTAAAAAGATGTTAGGATCTTCCTGTCACGTAAAGATTTCAAATTCGGTAAAAAACAACCGGAATATCTGTCTCTGTTACAGGCTGCGCCTATCTCCTAGTGACTGTCGCGCTGACACTTATCATTATTACGTCATTAGCCTTGCTATCTAAAGACATGTCCAACTTGGCCATACAAGTACAGGGTTGCAACAAATATGGAAATAAGATATTGTTGCAGCAAGTCTCACATGGAATCATGGGCCGATACGACCCAGATTCGCTATGACGAGCCCACTCGGAATATCAAGGATATGGTGTAGTAGAACAGATAATGAGGTTAGCACATTGGGAGTTGGGACACCTTAAGTAGCCTCCCCTCGGTGGACAGTTCCGAGATGTTTGTAGAAAATAGACAGTAATCGGCCACCATTCCTTTACTTTATTGTTTTGTTGATCGCTCATCACAGTCTCATATCTTTTAGTTTTTCTGATTGTTGGTATGACAAAGTTCATGCACTAAAAGTCTAATAGTTCACTTCAAGTTATGAGAGTACTCGTGTAAGTATTTGGAACTATCTTTCAGAAATATTGCGCATTCATGGTTGTTCGTGCTCTTCCTAGTTGATGCTATGGAATTGCTATCTTTCCTACATTCGGATAATGCTTATCCGAATATCAGAACCCACAAAACAAGAGACTTTGTCAAAGCGACGCATCAAACACCGACTACAAATAACTCCAACAGAGTACGAGGGCTGAACGCCTGTAAGTGGTGTCTTCTATGATACTGGGAGTGAATTATCCCCCCAGAGCCGTTTTTCAGTGCTGACGAAGGGTGAATTTAAGAGCTTTAGTCGAGTTGGCGATCGGGAGGAGTGGTGTTGGCTCATTTTTGGTCAAAAATCCCACTTGCAGAGATTTCACGACTGCACAACTCAATGAAATCAACCATCTGCGCCCTAGATAAGAACCGCAGACAGGTTATAACCTGTTTGATGTTCGCATTACAACAACCGACGCATTCAAGATCTTATTTTTTTCCTCTGGAAAATCATTCCTAGCCACACTCATCTCGCGGCCCTCTCCACAATCATCTCACCAGCTACCAAAGCAATCTCATATCTCCAAAAGTCAAATCGCGAACAAAGAAGCAAGAGGATTTTCAGATTGGAGCATGGCGTTAGAACTGAAGCGGAATTGGAGGGGGAGAGATAACCGAAGGTCTCCTGGAGATAACTTGGAGGAACTAAAGGTTTGAAAGATGGATAATATGAATAGCTTAAAAGTCTAAAGGTTCGAGTGGGTACTAATGGTAATTAAAGATACAAGAGGTGACCAGAAATGATCCGAAGGTGATGTTTGTGACAGAAAACTAAGCGTAGAGAACTCTGTGTCCACAGACCAAGCCATCATACATTTACCTGCCCTCCTTCCACTAGCTTATCATAACATAGGCCATAAACTAGTATCAACATAATACCAAATGCCAAGAACTGAACTTTTTTCATAGCAACACCAGGAGAACGGTAAAATTATAAACTAAAGTAAGGATAGGAAGGGGAATCCTCACATTGGGAAATTACTTGGGATTCGATAGCTAACCACGCCATTCTTTTGGGTTTGATGCGCATTAATCCTTTACCTAGACATGAGAGAAGGAAGATAAATTGCCATCCCTTGTGAGTGGATAGATCTCGTCCTGGCTTTGGAAGCAGGACTACTTCTGCGGTACGAAACGCTGTTGGGAAGTGTCCATGGTCCAGACAAGCTTGGAATATGTTACTCACATGCATTCCAATTACTGTACAGCACACCTTGAGCAACCTCACTGTTAGTTTGTCAGTCCCTTGGGCCGTGCTACCGCCGCCAAGAGTGCATTCTGTAGCTTCCAGCAATGATATTGTATTGTCCCGAGGGATCAGCTCCGGTTGGTCCAGTTCCCATGTGGAGAGTGTAAGGGTCGTAAGTGTTACAGGCTTAGGGCCTTGTAGGATTAGAATCGGACTTATCTGATTCCACATGTAACGATTGCTCACGTGACCATTGGATAGTCAGGCTTGAAGTGACTTATGTAAGACTTAGTAGATACTCAATTTTGTAGCTCGTGTAGTTCTTTTGTTATACAGAATATAAACA